GACTCGAGCTGAATATTCATTCAACTAGGGGAAAAGAGAAAGACCCAAAATTTTTCCAAGAAAAAGTGAAAAAAGATGAATCAAAAGAAATAAAATGAAAAGGCATTACCTTTGAGTGAAGATCCAGAAGAACAACTTGGGAAACGCCAACTACCAGACTACTACCTCTAGAACAGTAGTGTTGAAATTTGAAGACAGGGAAACGAAGAGAAAAAAAAACTGGAATTTAAGGGGTTTCCCAGACTGAAAACAATAATCCAAGAAGCCCCCCCAAGAGAAATCCAAACAGAAAAACGAAAAAAAAGAATGAATCTTTTTGAAATGACAGTGGAAATCTCTGGCAGGACAAAATTTGAATTCCAGATTTTTCGAATTGATCTTGAGGGGGGAGTAAAGTCACTGTATGCTGGCTATAAAACAAGGAGAAATGGAGCTAGGGGAGCGTATGTGGCACAGTAGGTGGTAAAGATTCCAGCTTTTTTGCCGTTATCGTTTTCTGGATGGGGTTTATATTTTATTTTTTCAAAAAATAATCACTTTCCTATTTGTTCCCGCCCGTTGAATGTGCCTTGGAGTGGACACATATTCTTATGGATGCAATGTCTTTTGGAACTTCGGATTCTCTTTGAATTTGGTTTGGATTTCTTTTGGACGTTCGATTTTCTTCTTTCTTGAATTTAATTTAAAAAAAAACATTTTTCCTTGATTTGGAAAGAATACTCCTTCCCCAATAAATAAAGTCCAAACTTATTCATTTTTAATAGAAAGAAGAGTAAAAATGATAGATACTCCGTATATTATAAAAGATGAAAAAAACAAAATTGTGAATTTTATTTTGGGGATGGAAAATTATTCTTTTTTTAGAATTCTTTCTTGGTCAACAAAATTGTCAATTAATTTTGATAAGATCTCAAAATATATATTTCATAAATCCGTGTAATTCTGAAAAATAAAATTCCATATAATCATATGAAAGAATCTAAAATCAAATGCATTTTAGACCTTTGTTTTGGAACCGTATTTCTGTTTAGCGTTTAGAATAATTTTCTAATCATGCAAATTAATTTTAAGAACAATAAAACTAAATCCTACTTTTGGATAACTTTTCAAAGTGCTATGAATAAATAACGAATTTTTTTCCAAGACAAACTCTAATTCTCACTTCTCTTTCATTATACTCTAACCCAAAAAAATCTAAATCAAATGCATATTAGTCTCACTTGTTTTCAATTTACTCTATGCCAAATTTATTTTTTCTTTCAAAAAAAAAAACTCCGCATTCTATAATTAAAGGAAAAACCTAGAGATAGCCCAAGGTGGTGCATCCTAAATGTATACCATCTTCTCACAGATACATATAGACACTCATTATCTGTGTTTCACTTGAGGTACACTACTTTAAACCCAAACGTATATCACCTTCTCACAGGCGCGCATTATCTGTGTTTTACTTGGGATATACCACTTTAGAATACCCCTAGCAAACCCCATAATTAAAGGTATAATTCACATGTTCACTAATCACTCTATCACTTTTTGATCGCGCCCTCTTTTCAAGGCCCATATCGCACACCTTTCTACTTACACCGGCCTACATAACACCCATCAAACTCTACCATAAGTACCATAACACATAGCCTTAATGACAGAAAAGTGACCCATGACGGGAGATGGTCATTAGAGCAGGGAGATGTCAAATCTCGAATTGATGTTGACCAAATTCGAGAGAGAAAATTATAATGTCCGGAGACATCAAATTTCTTGTTTAGACTTCACCAAAAAGAGTAAGGGGAAAAGGAGGTTTCGATATAAGTTCAGAAGATATCAAAACTCATATTTAATGCACTGCTTAAAGAAGGCAATTTACCAAGATAAAAGGAAACATTTTTCCCAAGTAACTATTCAGATTAAATAAACAGGAGTGCAAATCATGCCCCACTTTCAGATCAACTATACCATTAATTACACACCCAAATATGATGCAAAGCACTAAAAAAAGAGAGAACTAATCTTGTTCTTCATCATCTGTGACAAACTTCCCAGTGCCTGGATTAATGGCTGCAAAGAAGAAGAAGATAACATTAAACAAGATCAACGGCTCGATTTCGTTGAGGGGCACCCCAGTCTCAATGTTGAGTTGAGCAAGCGCCCCTTTCCCCGTCGTTATCTCTCCGATTATGGAAAACGCAATCCCCAGTTGAGCCAATCTCCCAACAAACAGCTCGTTTGCTTTCGTGAATCCAAACAGAGGTCCTGCATTCACCATTCAATGCCCAACATTAAGAATAGTAATCGGAGTAGTATAAAGCCAAATGCATACAACATAGAAGAATAGTACTTTGACAGTTTAAATTTGTTCCAAAAAAGTCATATTTTGAAGAAAAGAAGCTAATTTTCATTATACAAACAAACAACAACAACAACCCAGTTAAATCCCACAAGAGTAGGGTCTGGGGAGGGTGTGTGTACGCAGACCTTGCCCCTACTCGAAAGTAGAGAGGCTGTTTCCAAAGAGACCCCCGGCTCAACATCGAAGTTGCAGTGTTTGACTAACTGCTACTTCATTAATTAAAGAAGCGCAGATAGTTTAGAGATCCATTTTGATTTATTCCATCACACCCCAAAGCCAAAAATGGTGAAATTTTGACTCCATCGGAGATGATGGATGAAAGCTAATTTTCATTATACTTGGCAATATTTTTTTTCGTGAAAAACAATGTCTCAAACGTCGAGTATTATTAAATTTAGTTAAACCAATAACTTCTATATAAAAAAGAGACATATTTCTTAGTCATAAGGGCATGTTTGAGTGTGTGAAAAGTAAAAGATGCATTGAGAGTATTAGACTAGAGTATTAAATGTAATAATAATAATCAGCCAAATGAAAGCTCATAAAACTGTGAGAAGGGATACACGATTGATTCATATTCCATTGTGGTATCGGAGCAATATTACCTACCTCTTTCTTTGAGCCCAAAAGCTGACCTGAAACCTTTTCCGGGCGGGATAACGGCCCGGTCGAGTCCAGTGGGCGGTTGGGGATCGTCCACGAACTTGCCTCTGTCTCCCAAAGCTCCAATGGCTCCCAACAGATTGAAGAGTATGAAGAACAACAAGAGTGGCTCTGCCTCATAAATGGGAATCCCAGTTTCCAAGTTCAGTTGTGCCAAAATCCCCTTTCCTGTTAGTGCTTCTCCCAGCAAAGACGCCTTCAAGACATAATTATAAGGTAACCCACTATAACATATCATACGAATGCAAGTAATAATAATAATCAACAAGGTTCTTTTGACACCAAGAAGTGAAATTTGCATTAAATAGGACTAAAACATAAGTCATTTCCCTAAATAGGACTTAATAATGTCTAGTAAGAAGAATAATGACCAAGTGATGCTGGATATTTAGTTGAATAATGACTAATAGATAATAACCAATGGTCCTACATTGGGAAATAAAAACATATGGTCCTATATTGAGAAAGTTATTATGTTTTAGTCCTATTTAGGTAAATTATTCCACCAAGAATGGGTCTCATAATATACTACTCAGTCCATTTTGGGGCCCTACGGTGCTCCTCTAAGTCTGACCCCCCTGCCCCCCAAAACCCGTTAGCGCCGCTCACTAGGGTGGCAATCCACTGATTATCATCCAAATGGGGTGGGTGAGGGCAAGGGGGGGGGGGGGGGACTGTGATGATAAGAAC